CTTTTTGTAAAATTATTTAAAGTTTTAACGGTAACTAAAGGGCAAGCACGCCAGATGAGCGAGCTGCAACCAGAGCAAAATTTAGAAGCTCTATATAAGCCTGAAAAGAAAATGTATAAAAACATTTGAATGTGAATGAAATAAGTTCTATATACACCCGGAAAAAAAATCTTTTTTTTTTTAGCATCAATGAAATAAGTTCTATATCTTAAACTATTTCAGCTTCATCTTGACTTGACTGGCTTCAATATATCGTGGTCTTGTAAAACCCTCAACTTGTTTCAGCTTTGCGTTGGCTTGATTCACTTCACTTTGTTTTGCAAAAATCTCAGTGTTTCAGCTTTATGTGGTAACTTGGAATACAGGATATTAATAATTTAAGGTGCATTTATAAATAACACTGGCCATTAAAAAAAGTAAAAGCCATTTTTCATGCGAAGCAATCGAGCTATCGAATAATGTTAACAACGGATTATTATCAATTTAAGTAATTCTTATAATTCAAATGAAAAAAAGAAGTAAATAGTAAAACAATTCGATAAATAATTTAGTTTTGAATATCAAGAAATTTTTCTCATAGTTTGCATTTCAAAAAATATTTAAAATGATACTGATTGTAAAACAAACACTAATAACACGGCGAAAGGTGCACTTAAAGAAGTAATTTTTCTTCTTTAAATTAAAGCAAAATAAAATCGAGCCATTTACGAGAACGATTTAGTAAGACGATCAATGGCAAAAAATAAATACATATTTTTTCGAGCCAGCTATTGAATGAATGATCAATACTTCGTTACACATAGCTTTGTGCTTCACGTCATAAGTAATGGAACTCGTCACAAAATGCCTGAGTATATCACGAATACTTCATGTTTTCTCTGGTTGGGTATTTAATAGATTCTAATTATGGAGAAACGTATAGAGTTCTTAAAGTAGTTTGTCTATGTTTATTGGATTGGGAAACATTTAACGAGAAATGAAGTATTTTTCCTTTTGGGCTCCTTCGTAAAATAAAAGTACATAAATGTTCGTTCATAGCAAGCGGTGATTCTTTGCTTGTATTCTTTTCAGATTCTTATAGCAGTTTTGTTGTTTAATGTACATTTTTTTTTTTTTTTTTTTTTTTTTTGTATGCTGATAAAATATACTCATAAGTATGCGTCACTAAATTCTTGCGAACAGACTTATTATCTTCTGATTATTTTGGCAGATGAATGAATAAGTGAGTATATTAAAAAAGAAAAAAAATGGCGATCTATAACATCACATGTATAGCAGTTACTGTCATGAATAGCAGCACATAATTAAATACGTATAATTATTTTTCTAATCTGCAGTTTTCTGTAAAGTCTTTCATGGAATTTCGACGATTTGTGGCAGAACTTATAAAATAGCGAAACAAAACAAAAAAAAAAAAAAAAAAAGACTGTAAGAACTATGGACACTTAATTATGAAGAACTTATAAAAACCTGCAACCTGCATAAATAATTTTCATTCATAATTTTTTTTTCTGACGGTATGCTCTTACAGTCTGCGAGTAAATTTGCAGATAAGGTTGATTTCATCTGAGAATGAAAAAGCAATGTAGTGAAAATGCACACACACCCCGCCCGAAATCTTAAAATTCTTCAAAGCTTTCTAATAAAATGACAATCAATTTCAAGGTATTTTTTACCTCCTGCCAACCTACCAGGGTTTAATTTCTAAAATTAGAAGTACCGGAGCCCTATGAAAGACTGTGAGGGGAAAAAAAAAATAATAAAAAAAAATAATAAATAAAAATTAATATTAATAATTATTTTAATTATTTAATCAAAATGAATGAATTAATTAATTAATTAAGTAATTAATTAATTAAAATAATAAATTTAAATTAAGAAACATGTAAAAAAATAAAGAGAAATCTAATAAATTATTAAATTAATTTTAAATAGTTTAGGAAAAAAAGTATCGGACCTTGTCTTATTTTGGGGATCGGTTGGAATTACAATTCCACTTAGACGTTAAGAAGCAGCTCAGCCGATCTCCGTCTGAGTTTAAGCCCGAATTATACGTATAATCTTCTATTTCCAAAGATGATCTTTTTTTTTTTTTTTTTTTTTTTTTCCAGCACACTAATAAAAAAGGATAAAACGATTAAAAGCAAAAATGACGAACTTTAGAGACAATCGTAAATTATGGTAGTAAAGGTCTTCGGCTCGCAGACTAAAGATTCCGCAATAGATTCAAGATTTAAGCTCCACTAATGAGAATAGTGAGAATTCTATAAACAGTATGAGGATGCGGAAAGAAATTTAACAGAAGAGTGTAGCTTTGAAAATAAAGAGAGAAGAGTTCAAGACTTTTTGATCGCGATGCCCTGTCGATATAATTCTAGACGTCAAGCGGAAATTTTCCCTGAATACTTTTCCTGAATACAACCGTGAGAACAAACATAAGACTTCTCTGTACAAGTGACAGCAGTGGTCCCGCCGTTTGGTTACATCATTCGGAATGTCTACAGGAGCTCTGTAGTAGGAAGTCACTAGCGTGGTACGATCACGACCACGGTATCACTTTTAGTTCTTTGAGGAATGCAAAATTTACCCCTTGTCATATATTCATCACATATCCTGGAGAATAAGCCTTTGACATATGATTGGGGCCTTTAATTTCCTTAAAAGTCTCAACCTCTGTGCGAGGAAAGACAGACTTGCATTCAGAAATTAGAACTGAATTTTAAGGCATATTTAAATTGTGCGAAAATTGTGGTTCACTTACATAAAAGAAGTGCCGGAGGTTTTTACTTAGGGCTACGGTGCGCTCCGGCTGAAATTAGAATTTATCTCGAAAACTGAGAAGTACCGGGGCAATTTAAGCTCTGCAACCTATATACATAGGTAAGGGAAGTAAAATTTCCAGTTCAAAAATTCGATAGTGAGTTTTCAGTGAATAAGCACGAATTAGGGTCCCTACAATACATTTTGACTACGTCAGTCTGTCTTGTGTATGCGTGTGACGATTTTTTTTGGTCCGCGATAACTTTTATATCAAAATTTCAAAAAATTCAGTTTTCCTTGTTTAAGCTTTCTGCATTCATATAAAGAATTGATTAGATTTGGAGGAAAATTGGACAACAGAAAATATTTTACTTCCAACCCATAACAGTTTTGCAGCGACCAACATTACATATTATTGCATATACAAACCATAACATTTTATTGCAGTTGAACGAGCATTACTTACTAATACTAAAATATGGCGGGGATATAGTAGGTGCATATCAAAATGAATTTAGGTTTGTCGATACTATAGAAATAACGTAAAATAAAATTAAATATGTATTCGCTTCAAAGTATTTATTTCAATTCAAACATATTATAAACACTTCATTTTTTCAATTAAAACCAATTAAACTATATGTTATTTAACAGTCCAATAAAGAAATAAAATTTAATAAAAGAAATTAAAGGGTAAACATTTCATTATGTTGCTATAAATTTAGAAAATCCAGTTTTTATACGTAATAAAATATAACTCAAATTATAAATCAAGCTTCCTTCAAAATTAAGGAAGCCAATTACACGTAATAAAATATGACCAAAAATTTCGTATTGCAGACCTTTCTATTTTGTGAATCAACACATTAAATTCTGTTTACAAACGATCAACCGTAAGTGATACTTTATTTAAAGCTCGTTGCTATTTAAAACTTGAATTGGCCGGAAGTCATCTGCTGGCCATATCAATTTTTTTTAAACTTATGTGATTCAGTTTCGCCTGTCATGCTCTTTTGTTGTAATTGGTTACTACATCCATCAGGCACTTAGATGGTTCATGATTCAAACTCCAGCGAGGTCTTAGTTGATTTTTCTGGCTTCAAAATATGTCCTTAATAGTTATCTACTGTGTCTCCCGAAATAAATGTAGTAGATGATAAATTGCCATCACTAGGTTAGTCCTAACGGGTATCATGACTTACTGGGTCTCTTTGACCTCTCTTTTAAGAGGGAAAGAATGTAAGGAATCATTGCATTATCTGTCGTTTCTTGCGGTTAAATCTTTATTAACACACCCAGCTGGGTATTCGAAAATTCTTAGTTCGAATCCCGTCAAGAGGGCAAGTGATGGCAGTTCATTTTTCTTATTTGTCGCTGTAAAGAGAGAGGGAGAAAAACAGAGTCGTAGCTAGGGTTTTCAGCGCCCAGGAGCAACTGAAAATTTCACGCTCCCTACTGCTTGCCAAGGAAGGAAAATATTTAATTCTAAAATGTCGTAACATCAGTTTGGCGCCCCTTGGATTCTGCGCCCGGGAACAGATGTCCCCCTTGCCCCCCCCCTCTAGCTACGCTTTTGGAGAAAAAGCAATTATCTTTCTTTTAAAAAGAAAAAGAATTGCTTAATGGTCTCTACAACTTATTGAAACAAAATTTTGGAGTGAATTAAACTGCTGTTATGTAAGACAGCCAAAGTTTCACTTAAATTTCGAATACAGTTATTTTTTAAACATCCAATAATTTTTTTCGAATTAAAATTCAGCTCATTTATGTAAGCAGTCATAACCACCAAAAGTCATTCAACATCTAATTATCAACTTCAGTGACACATCCAATCATCTTTTTATTTATTTATTTATTTTCTTTTTAATTTTCGGCTTTACGTGATGGACTCTGAGAGCTGTATGGATCCGGCGGACCGTGGATTACATATCGCTGTTTTAAATGACTGCGGTTATGAAATGCATGTAAATGTACATTAAGGAGTTTGCATATAAAGTAATCATTGGCAGATAATAGTAGCAAATAACATGGAGTCGCGTTCTTGCGTAACACAAATTGACTTTTGTACCTGCTTTTGAAGACTGTATATATTAATGCTGGAATTTTTAAAATTTAACCATGAACATGCTGAATTAATGTATTTCCTTCATAACAATTTTATTTAATTATTTACTTTTCATAAATGTTATGCACTAATATTTTTGCAACTTTGTTCATTTATTTATTGTTATTTGTATTAGAAATATGCTGCGTGCTTTATTTCGAGGACTCAAAAGAAGCTATGATTGTAGCATGGAAATAAGAAGGATTACTTTTTATGGATATTCTCGGCTAAACTGTTTTAGCTCTCACTCATGTGATTTGGGTACATATATGATTAAATAAACACGATTTAGAATAGAATATGATCACTCTGAGAAGTATTAACTGCATTTGTTTCACTTTCGCAATATATGCTGAAGAATACGGCAGAAATTATTTTTGAAAACTCATAATGTTAATTTATATGTATTTACATACATACCATATAATTGTTGTATACTAATTATGCAAAATGTATTTCGGAGAATGTACTGGTTTAGTTTATTTTCATGTCAATATTATTTCAGTAATGAAAAAAATTATGCGCACTTGTTTTACAATAAAAATAATAATTGTTAAATATAATGTGGCAGCACTGCTTCTTGTAAATCCCTTCCGTTTCTCAATCAAGTGGGAACGACGTGTACAAACCAGAAGCCTTCAATTTCGTGTCTGTCAGTTCTAATGTTAAAATAACTATGTTATTCTGTGATATATGCAACTATTTATATAATACATATATATAAATATTAGTGACGTGTGTTTACAGTGTTGTCTATGTTATATTAATCAATATTGCTGTTAAAGATGAAGTTGAAATTTGTGTGATAATGGTAATAAGTATTATAATGGCTTGAAAAAGAATTCTTCCTTTCAAAGTCGATCACTTAAATGTTATTAAGCCTCAATAAGAAAAGGATTTTCATTTATAATTTTACTTTATATGAAATTGATATTTAAGATTAATCTTTTGAAATGTTTTATGAACATAAAGGCTGTCAGAATCATTCTAAGTGCACATTTTGAAGAAGAATTCTTTTGGAATACATATGCAATCTTTTGATATGTACATTACCAATTTGTTGTTTAATAATTTAAGAATATTATGTATTAAAATCATAAAATGAATGAATGTCCTTGGAACTTTGGTGTTTTGTCGCAGTTACAGTTTATAAATATTTATACTGCAGATGATTCATAGTTATAGACTAAAAGGGGGAAAAACTTTGCTAGGATCTTCTAAAGTTCGACGGAAATTCATGTTAACAACTTCAGCTTATTTTCTTACCGTTTGTGCTGACAGTAGAGATTAAACTATTTCAAAATATTGTAGATTTATAGTTCATAAATCAATATTATTACCGAAATCATTGATCCTTAGCATGTTTTGAATGAACTTCACAGGCAGATTTCTAATGGAAAATAATTCGATAAACACTTTGGTTCTGAATATATATAAGACAAATTAATATTAATGAGAAAGAAGAACATTCAAAAAACGCATAGAAAATCGTTTGCTTTTTCAGCATTTAGTTGCGGTTTGGAATAATGTTTTATTAATGTAAAAGGAGAACATTTCAAAATTATGGAACACATAAAAAGTCGTTTACTTTTTCAGCATTTAGCTCTGTTTTGGAATAATATTTCAGGAAAGAATTTAATATTTAACATACTACGTTATAGTTAACTTAAGGTAATTCTTTTGTACAGTGAGTTAACTTTATTCAATCAATAGATGAATCCGAAAAATTCCTATTTAATTAACTTAAAAATATATTAAAATTTCAGTATGTTATTGTATATTTAGAATAACAATTCGTTTAGAATTATGTAAATTTTGGGTAAACAAATACCTTAATCATACGCGTTTAAGTATTTAATTTAAAATATGCGGAAAATTAATAATAAATAATGTGCAGAAATAATATATATATATATTATATATAGTCTTTGTCATATATATAAGCCTTTGTCTTATATCTTATATCTATCTATATAAGACAAAGGGTAAAATAGGCCGTACAGTTATTTGAAATCTGTAATCAAAAAACGTAATTAACTAACTTATATTATTTTTATTTATATATGTTCAGAATCAGATACCAAGATGGTTCCAAATATACTTAGCGTACACGTAAAAACAGTTTAACGTCTAAAGATTATGGATTTAGAATATGAAATATAGTTTCTTATTTGAAACTCTACTTTTTACTAGTACGCGAGGTGTGACTGTAGATACAGATTGAAATAATTGCTAGAGATGGTAAAAAATAGAGTACTGTGGCACTATTGGAGAAAGAAATCAGTTTGTTAATAATGACTTCGTAAAGTTCAACTTCACATTGTTTATGAATGTAGTATTTGCTTGATGCGTATTGTGACGAGGTTTACTATATGAACATGTTTTTTGCAATAAAAATTTTCTGATTCTTATATTGTATTGTTGAAATTGAAGAAGTCACAAAAATAGTAATAACTTCGCAACATAGAGTCATTTGCTACAAATTATTGTTTCGTAACTATTGCGCAACTAAATAAAATAAATATTTGGTCATAATATTTCAATTTTATAATACAACTAGGTAACTGATTACTTTAAGTACGAACATATTGTTGCCTAACATGATTCTGCAGACTTAATGAAAAGCATTGTATCAACAAAAGAACTGTGGTATTTCCACTTTTAATATAATTTGGCTGAGGCTAAAGCATTCATTTCCATACTTTTTGTTTTTGTTCGCAGCAGCAGAAATTATGTTTCACATATGAAAGTAATACAAAAAATTTCCAAAATACATATCAAGTTACATATTTTACGCGTGTCCATTAAAAGAATACAAATTAACAGATCCTATTCAATGTTTATAGATTTCTCATGAAATCTGGTACCTTGAATGCAACAAGAAAATATCTCACTTTCTGTAAATAACGTTGTTACAGCATTGCTCATAATCATTTCTTCAACTCAAATCACAAATGCTCGACTGGAATCTTGCCTAGTTAACTTGTGGCAGTGGAATAAAGAGAATTTCTGGTCATAATCTTGGAGTTATTCCTTTAACTTCCTTCGCAAAGGAACTTAAAGCACTGCCTTATTATTGAAAGACACCATCTTTACCAATGAATAATCACCATGCAGGAGTGTATTTAGTGGCCACGATGTTCGGGCAGATGTGAGCCATCATTTTGATGTCCGTCTACACAAATATGAAACACGTTCTCTTCTTGAAAATTTAATTGTAACCATCACACTTCCTTTTGGGGGTAGGTTTAATTCAAATAAGAAGAGCTAGATTAACTATTAAGCAAAATAAGCACGTGCTTAGGATATCAAGGAGAGGGGTATCACAAAAACATACTTAGGAACTCAAGGAAAGGGGAACGTCAAAAAATTTCGTATTGCTGGTTTTTACCATGAAATGTAGGATCATGGAAAAAGAAATAAATCAAGACCGAGAAAGAAGGGATGGAGAAAAACAGGTGTAAAGGGAGGCGCAGCACTATTTTGAAAGTGCCTTTAAAGCTTTTAATCCGACCTTGCAAGTAAGATGTGATTGGGTTAATGTCACACAAAAGCTTGTCCGTTCAGATGGTGTAATAAAAATGAGATTTATATCACCATGGGAACCTGTAGAAGTCGTTCATTGCAACCATGCTGACAGTGACAAACTGAACTCTGAAAGTAATGGCTGCTGACCATATTGGTGACAGATAATAAGATGACAGATATCTTTGTAGTAATATTCTACTATCCACTATTTCCCGCCACAGACCAGCCCTAGCAGATCAGATAGCATTTATTGAATTTTTAAAACAATTGTTTGTACAGAGTCACAACTGTTTTTTGTCATCATCTTTAACATGTTCACATGTAAAACATGATAGAAGATACAAATATATGTTCAGATACATTTCGAATGACAGTTACAAAAGTTAATCGACATTACAATGACCGACGGGTACAGAAGGCACATAAATGAATCTACGGATGCAAAGATCCACTTACAAATACATATAACAAATTGTACTTTTAGGGCCACTGGCCCACCCCAGCAACTGAAATTACGGATAATTTTAAATTTCGGTAATTACTGCACACGTGAAATGCGCACTCAAGTAGTTGTTTTAAAGAAGTTTTTATCAAGATATCTTGACATAACAATCTGGACTTTATCGAAGTCAGAAAAATTTTCGTTTTTCTCTTGCTAAGGAAAAACGAAATATTGAATAAGAGAATTTTAATCTGGATATTAAATGCAATTCGAAACCGTAAAATGTATAAAGCCCATTAGCTGAAATCAATTTACACAATTTAGTTTCTCAAGTAATTTAATGTTTTGACCGTTAGATTAATTGAAACGAATGACTTTAATGTAATAATTATTACAAACAGCCACTGAAATCTAATTTTTTGGAAACCAAGATAATGAATTATAAATGAAAATGGACCAAATAACATATTTTTCATTCAGAACCATTTTAATTTAAAGAGCAGGAATGCATGTAATTTGACTCCTAAAAATAACACTTTTCTTTTTAAATCAGACTACCTAATATTAAAAAAAGGCAAGATCTTTACTTCAATGATAAAAAGTAATCACTTGAAGCTAATTTTTCATAATTATATATACATAACATTTAAATTCATACTTCTTTAGCAAATATTCTCACGTGTATAAATTTAGGAATAAATACAACTTTCAGCTCCGAGCTTCTGAAACAAAATCATTACCGTTGCACTTCTTCAATCAACAGTTTAATGAGTACTTTTCATATCCATGCATCTATAAAATATATACATGTGAGTTAGAAATCATCAGTCCAAGATTTCTAGACTAAAACATCCAGAGGATTGAATAAATGAATAAAATTTCCACCAGACATTTTAGTTAAAAATCCAGTTATTCCTTCTGTCCTCACAAAAATCTTAACTGAATACATAAGAAAAAAAAATATACTTTTAACGATAAAGTAAACCATAAACGAGACAGCTTAGATTCTCAAGCCAACAAGGGGAAAGTGACGCAAAATGCTGACTCAAGAAGGAGGAGTTTTTTTATTTATTTATTTTTTTTCCAAGACAGGGTTTTCAACCAAGAGGGGGGATTCCATCATCCTGGATTAAAGGAGGAATTTCTTAACCTCAGAATGGTATATTTAATCTGCAGAGATAGCACACTAAAGATAGTCCTCATGTGCTTTAGTGTTTTTAAATACTCAAACTGTAATAAAAAAAACTAATGGAAGATCAGATATAGTGCATTTGAAGTCAGGTAGTCCATTAAGGACTGAAAGGCTTAATATAAGCCTCATTTAAGTGCAACGATACTCAGAAGCGTTTTTTGTAGTTTTCGCTATGTACAACGTAAATACGAGCCAATTTTTATGTTACAAACGAAGGAACACACACATACAAGTCTTCCTCGAAAACATACCTCACTTTAAGTAGAAAATCCTCATGTGCTTTCCCATAATTAATGAACAAACTTATTTATATTTATTAATTATAACTATATGTTAACATATGTGTAAATAACACATACTTATTTAATATAATACACATCAAATTTCTACGTGATCTAAAATTAATTATCTTATATTTTACATAGCATTTGGATTGCTTTATTCCAATCGTGGAGCAAAAATAAGATTATAAAGGGAATTTCAGCCAATCATACTACAAAAAAAGGAATGGACTAAAAAGAGGGGAAAGCTTTGGCACTGATCTTAAAATTAAATAAATATATCCCACATAGCACAAAAACATCCTTGGGATATCCCAAGGATGTTGCTCGCGGGATATGCGCACATCCTCAGGACATCCCGCAATTATCCCGCGAACCTCCTAAACACCTCCTCCCGAGTGCATAATGTCACATCCCGGGATATCCTCAGGACATCCTCACCAAGTCCCATCGACAGCGTACGGGATGTTATTAGGATATGAACTCCTACTAACTACATCCTCAGGACATCCCACAAACCTCCTAAGCACATCCCATTATATCCGAAAAACATCCCTATCTATGTCCCATCGACAGCATATGGGATGTTATTAGGATTTAAAGTCCTACTTACTACATCCTCAGGACATCCCGTAATATCCCAATTTCCTCCTAAACTCATCCTCCT